AAATTCACAATTCGATTTTATAGTAGAAATATATATTTTAACACATAAATATTGTACATATAACCTGGTCTAGACAGAGAGATGTCAACAGAGTAATGGGCCTTAAACAGAAAACCCCCAAAATTTAGTTTATTTTTGTGTTTTAAATTCAATTTTTTTGTATTAAATAGTGAAAAGTCAATTTTTATCCGTTTTTTATTGATTTTATTGGTATGTTTTATTGCTTTCGGAGGGAGATAGGGTCTGACAATTATGGCTGACCCAAGCCCCATTTCATCTCTCTCGGGCTGTGGTTAAGAATAAATATCGTTCAATATTTTTATATCGATATATCTTTTGGATCTTAAACAAGATTTACGATTCGATTTTATAGTAGAATATACGTTTTAAATATATAGGCACTGTATATCAAGCAGAAATGATAAAGACGTTCTCAAATGTAGTCTTTTGTATGGAAAATGCGGTACATAATTAATATGAGTAATTTTTGACAAATTAACAACGAAAAATCTACTTTTAGTTATTGATTTTATTCATAAATCTTTATAGTTTTCGAAGAGGGGTTAGCCCGCAATTCTTATGAATTAAGACTTTTTAGACGCCCTAAACACATAAAAAAATATTTAATTCGAAATGTAAACAACAATAAAACATAAAATACACTTAAAAAGTAAGTCTTATAAGCCAACAAATACTTTAATTTTGTTTTAATTTATTGTGGGGACCACAGAAAGGGATTTCAGCTACACCATTTGCAATTTTGATTCTTATGGTCCATGGTAAATCAAGCAATGAGAAATTTCTGTGGTGCCCTTTTCCTCGATACCCTAAATTTGATTAATGGTTAATCCAGCCACATATTGTTTAACGTTAAATATAAAATTTACAATTCGATTTTATAGCATTATATACATTTTAAGTATATAGACACTGTATACATAACCGATAACTCCATAGACAGAGCATGAATTTTAAAACACTCGGAGGCAAGATTCGAATTTTAATGCAAGTACTTTCCTAGTAAATCCGTCATTAATTTTAGTATCATTTCTAGAATAAATATATATATATATATACTTTTTTCTTTTTAATTTAACGAGCTTACGGTATTTATCTTCATGTTAAAAATAAAATTGTAGTTATTTCACTTCTATATAATAGGGATTCACTTGTATTAAATATAAATTGCGAGTAGATCTTGTTTAGAAAGTTTAAATCGATTCACAAGTATCATGGAAGTTTGCATTTTGTTACAAAGAAAAAACATTATAAGTCGCTAGATGAATGGTAAAATAGAGAAATTCAGTTAAATAAAACAAAAGTAGAAAGCGTGTTTACTAATTTAAAAAGATATTAAATTGATATTTTAATTTTAAAAATATATTT